GCAGAGTCAAAATACTCTCCTGTATCTGCAACTTGATTCGGATTCTCATCAAAGTAACGTTCTTTAACAAAAAATTGTTGAAATTTAAAATTGACACTTTGCATTAAGACTTTTTACATTTTTAATAGCTTTCATGTGGGGAAATGCAGAAAAAAAATAAATGAATTTATGGAAGTCATGGTTTTGAAGCTCATTTTTGATTTTGAGAGACTTGACTCCCATACCAACACTGAGCGCTCTACAGCCGTCAGTGATCTTCTCTGCTACTTTCACCAAATTTCCGATGGGTTAATTCTATTCATAAACAACAAAGTATAATATTTATTATGAGAAAAAAAACCATGTTTCTTGGAATACCATGTGTAGATGTGTTGCACGTGAACATTCGTACTCACCGTGAACTCTTCCTCCTCTTCATCACCAGACTCTCCGAAGATGTCTGCGATCATTTTCCTGAAATACACAAGGAAGAGGTCATAGATATCAAATCATCTGAAGTGAAAATGCATTGTGTGACCGAATGCATTGTCCAAACAAAAATCATGTTAGCTCCATTCAATATTGCTAACATTGTTTAATTTGCTAGTATTAATGAGGCAAGACGTCCTGGAAATCTTGGTTAACCCCCACCCAAAAAAAAACAAAACAAAAAACAAAAACATCTGTCTTGCTCACTCACACACAGATTGAGAGAAACCATTTGTGACAAAGCATTTGCGAATTATTACTGTTAAAAGAGGAGTTTGCAGGGTTTTTTTTTCTTTAAGAAACAATCTCACCTGAGTGAATTGAGGCTACATCCGAATCTTGCTAGCTGTTTCGAAACTGCAAAATCCTTCCATTCATATTTGGGATTTCTATGCTTTTGCTGTCTTTTTTTTTTGTGTGTGTCATCTAAACATTCAAGCTGAAAGTGAACTAAAGTGCACCAGAGTTCACTTGTTTGTAGGACTGTGGCATATGGCCTTAAAAAAAATAAAAATAAAATACAATTAACAAGTTAGTCAATTTTAACTTTCAGCTGATAGAAAACGCAAATTACGTTACTCAAAACACATTTTCACCTCCAATCGCATCTTGTGCAACGTATAAACACGTAGGAGGTGAATGGACTATCTCGGCAAAGGAGAAGTTTTCACTAACACAGACTTGTGAACAATATTTGGGGGGAAAAAAGGCTAAAATTCTTACACCGTTGACTTCACCGCATGAAAAATGTGAGCAGAAATAAAAGCGTTGCTTTTATATTTTTGTTCACTCCGTGTGTCCATTGTACAGAACATTACGACACACTCACTCTTCCTGGTTGTCGTCATCGTCACTGTCGCTCCCAAACAGCGCCTTCTCATCTTTATTCTCTGCCGCGCCCTTGGAGCGGTCGTCCTCATCGCTGCCGCTGTCGGAACCCAGCTCCCGGAGCTTGGCCGCCATACTCTTATCGATTCCGCCCGACTCGGCGTCACTGTCGGAGTTGTCATCGTCGGAAACCGCACGACTCCTCTTAACAGCTGACGATACAACGAGAGCAGGATGAGACACTTTGTATGTTAAAACCAACATCTGGGCCAGGTCATTTAGAGATGAGGTTAAAAAAATTGTGACAATGTGGAGGTAAAATAGTTTATTTTAATAATAAATGTTTTTTTTTAAATTTTACAAATTATTTTATTTTATCATTTGCTTAAGTTAAGCAATGATTTCATGTGACAAAAAGTAATATTTTAAGAAAAAAGGTCTCACTGCTTGCAACAAACGCAGCCGTGTCGGCTGTCCTTGTCTCACCTGGTTTTTCTGTCTCTTCGTCTTCCTCGCTGTCTGACAGGATGGCCTTCTTCCTCTTCACTGTGACACATTAAAACCCATTATTGATTGACTGATTGATTCCTGGCACTTATCAACACCTTCATTTACAATGTAACGCTTGCGTCAACACAATCTCCACATCTATGGCACAAAAAGACATCTTTTCCCAACTCAGATTTTACACTCACGACATGGTGAGAGGCTTCAACAAAGCTTACGTGCTCATGCGTTTTTGGTAGCGTGGAGGAACACATACAAAATGGAAACTTCACACAGAATGGTCAGAGCCCAGATTCAAACTGCTTCGTTGTGAGGCAGAAGGTGCTTACTATCAATTTACCATGCAACCAACTCTGCTCCATTACTGCGACTGTTAATTTGATGTTTCTACACAGCACACACAGAAACCTTGCGGGAGGTTTTTGGTGTTTTGAGCTTATTACCTGGCTGTTCATCATCATCGTCGTGACTGTTGTCAGAGGTTTTCTGCGTAGCTTGCGCTTCTCCGTCACTACCCACAACGTTGGCTGCTTTCTTCCTTCCATCGCCGCCGTCCCCCTCGTCATCCTCACTGTCCGACCGCATGACGGCCTTCCACTTGCCTCGACCTCTCTCCTCAGACTCTCCCTGTCGCACGCCGGACTCATCGGTAGAGTCCTTCGCCGCCGCCTTCGATCCGGCTGCCGTCTCTGTATCAGAGTCACTGTCGGTGGCGGCTTTTGCTTTGGTGTCCTCGTGGTCAGTGTCACCCTGCGCAGCCACTGTTTTGCTTCTCCCCTCCTCCATATCCGAGCTGCTCCCCCTGTGCTTCACAGGGGACGACGCCTCTCTTTCCTCATTGTCTGAGGCGCTGTTTTTGACTGGCACCTCATCCTCCGATACGCTCATCCCGTGTTTGCCCACAGAGTCATCATCATCGTCACTGTCAACGGGTTTTGGACGTTCTGCCTCAGAGTCGCTCCCCTGGACATTGCGGTGAACGGGAGCATCAGCCTCTGAGTCACTCCCTTGGTCGTGGTGGCGAACAGGAGCCTCCACGTCTGAGTCGCTCCCCTGGTCATTGTGGGGAACGGGAGCCTCGGCCTCAGAGTCGCTCCCGTGGACATTGCGCTGAACGGGAGCCTCAGCCTCTGAGTCGCTCCCCTGGATATTGGTGCGAATTGGAGCCTCGGCCTCTGAGTCACTCCCTTGGTCGTGGTGGCAAACAGGAGCATCCACGTCTGAGTCGCTCCCCTGGTCATTGTGGGGAACGGGAGCCTCAGCCTCCGAGTCGCTCCCCTGGTCGCTGTCGCTGTGGTGACCGGGCACTTCCGCCTCTGAGTCGCTGTCGCCACCTCGACGGACATCATTGTCGGAGTCGCTGTCGTACCTCCGTTTGTTGTAGGACGGGTCCTCATCGTTGCTGCCCTCGTCCTGATGATGCAAACGATGAAATTATGTCACATCTTAATTGACCACATGCTCATTAACAGTTTAACTACAGTGGAATGTCAGTTGATGAACAACTCGGTTTATAAACGAAACTTTCCAAGTAGGGCTCCTTCATATGTATTTAATCAGGAGCAAATAATCAACAATGTATTCAAGCTTAAACAGCTCATCGGTGGAAATTACTATTTTGTGCAAACTTAGAGTCATGTGTAATGACAACAAGCTACTAAATGAATAAGTCTGACCCCAGAATGATGTTTGTTGCTGTCCTCACAATCCGATGTCTGATGTTCATCCTGAACTGGAGTTCCGCCTCCGTCATCTGTGTAATAAAATATTTTAAAAACACTTTCAAGACATCACAAATGAAGTATGATACATTTGATAGAGGTGTGCTATTATAATTCCAGTCACACTTGTTAAGTTACTGAGCAAAGTACATTCGTCTCATTGATCACCATGCTTGTTTTTCATCTTGACCAAGGTCCGTCTTCGGCACCAACCACCCTACGAAGAAGCAATTCTTGTTCTCCTTGTTTTCTTTCTCGACCCTCCTTCTTTCTCTTTCATTGCACAATAATAAAAGCAGCAGCAGCGAGACAAAGCACATTGGGCCTCTTCCTGGCAGAAATTAATTTCCATATTTATGAAATCCATCTTCGCCAAGGACTGTAGAAAACTGAAAGCTGAGGAAGGTGTGGGCACCTTTTCATTGGGCTGGATCAAAAGATTTGCCTGTTACTCCAGAGGTGGCAAAGGGTCCAAAAGTTTCCCAAGCAGTGGCAAGGGAGTGGCCAATAGTTGTTAGTATTCGCAATACTACCCCGAATTGTCGCCATATGTCTTTCGTAAACACTACATTGACCTGAATGTTGATAATTGTCTCAAAGCGTCGCTGTTGATAAAGGCGGCCCCCCTTATTTTCAATTCAACATCCGCTACCTTTAGTTTCGAGAGACTTCTTTCTAGGTATAAAGGAGACATTTTAATACCTAGGCCACTGTAGAGAAATGAAATAACACCACGTGTACAAAACTTAAATGAGATTTAGTCCAATGAAAGAACTGCGTGGGCTTGTTATGTAGCTAAAAAGTGTTTACCGGAGTGACTCCCAGACATGAATTCGTCCTCTTCTCCGTCCATTTCCAGACGAAGATAGCTTCAAGCTTTGACAAAAAGAACGCGCGACAACTCTCTTGTTGTCCACACTCTGTTAGTATCGAGGTGTTAAAACAAAGCGGAAAGGGGAAAAAAAACGGTAGAACACCAACACGGTGCCCAGTAGGAAGAAGACGAACCAAAATGGAGCGGCCGGGCCATATACGCATGCGTAGAGGTCACCGGCGACTTGTAGTGACGCAACAAACAACCCGTCGTGCCAACCAGAATGTCCAGTACTTGTTACCCGTTTTAACCGGCATTTCAAACGGCAGATATTGTGACGTTTGATTATATTAGGCCCTTAAAGGAGTAACTTAATCCATTCTGTTGTTCTTTCCACAATATCTGCCCTCATAAAGTAAAAAATAAAAAATAAACACGAATGACCCAAATCGAAACTAAACTGCCTATATAAGCAAATGTCTTAAGTTACTCAAAGAAAACGGATTGAAAAATAATGTTCAAATAGTTTTCCTAATCTGATGCAAATTTTCAAATACAATTAGATTGTTGTGCTTCCGCCCCGTTTATTCTGCATTCTCCCATTACAGCAGCGAGAGGTAACGCGTCAATCACCAAAGCACCACAGAAGAAGAAATATAATGGCGTCATTGACATGCGACTCGGCAACCAGCGAGGAAACGCGTGTTTAGATCCCGAGGCAACATTAGTGTCTCGTGTTGACTCACACAATTTCACGAAGACGCCGTGCTCAAACCCGCGATATGGGCGAAAGTAGCCGCCCTTGCACCGTGTGGCTGGGCTCGGAGACGGGCATCCTGAAGGGCGTCAGCGTGTCCCGCAAACAAGCCTTCAACTTCTGCAACAGCTCGCAGCTGAGCCGCCAGCACGAGGTCCGTACGCTGTGCTGGGCCGACGCGGCCGAGAGCGAGCTGTTGGTTGCCGCCGTGGACGGAACTGTCAAGACCTTTAGCGTGGAGAAGGGGGCCTTCACCGACACGCGAAGCTGCGGGGACCCCGCCGAGGGCTGTTTCGTCGGGATGGCGGTGCTGGACAACGGCGCGGCGCAGGTGACGTGCGCGGAGAGCGGCTTGCTCCGGGTGTGGAGGGATGAGAGCCGCGAGCCCGCCACGGAGATCCGCGTGGGTAGCGACGTAGCCAGGATGAGGCAGAACCCGGAACACCGGCACAACGTGGCGACCGGCGGGAAGGACAATTGCCTCAAAGTGTGGGACCTGGAGAAGCCCGACAAGCCCGTTTTCACCGCTAAGAACCTGCGGAACGACTGGTTGGATCTACGGCGACCACACTGGGTCAAAGACATGGCCTTCATACCGGGATCCGATAAGGTGGTTACCTGCACGGGACACCACCAGGTGAGTCCGTAAGGCGCCGCCGCATTCCTTTGAAACACAGACCGCTTTAATCTTCACCTTACGGCTAGCAAAAAAAGGTGCAGGGTAAGGTTAGTAGAACTGGAACACTCTGATATAGGATCGTCATGATCTGTACCGCCATTTAATTTTTGGTCTAGTGCAATTCAACGAACTGAAAAGGGACATTCTGTGCTGTTCTGCATAAAAGAATTAAGTTACATTTATTATAGGTCCGCGTTTGGGCTGACCGATGTTGAAAAATCATCGAATTGCGACCCCCCTCGCCCAAATACTCAATTACTGCTATTTTGATTCAGTATGCATTTTTTTCAAGGTCCTCTTCTCATATATTTTTCACAAACAAGCAATTTATTATTCCGAGTTACAGAAAATGTTAGATTTATTATCCATCCATTATCCTAGCCGCTTATACATAAATATGGTCGTATAGGTTTTGCTTCTGATAAAATAAAGGCAAATGAACTGAGTTAAAACAGTTTTACACAGTAATCGGGAAATTGTGTACTGTATTGTGAGTTACCAAACATGTCGTCTTGCAGTCTTTTAAGGGTTCACTGTGACAATTTAAAATGCCACCAAACGTGACATGAACAAGTAAGTCAGTGTCATAAATCAGATTACAAACAAATCTGTAAACTTTCATTTCAACTTTTCAAGTTTCATGAATTTGTATATACGTGAGGACTGCTCTAAAAAGGCTCTAAATTTATGTTGACAATCTAAAAAAATACATATATTTATAAACAAATAAAGCTTACTGGCTGAATGAGGCACGTTTTTTGGTCCAAATTTCTGCTTCACTGTGAACATTGCATTCTACTAAATTTCAATGTCGATTTGTATTCCATTAATTCCTCAGTCGTGCTCACTATTTAAATTTGCTTTGTCCACCCAGGTCCATGTGTACGACCCCTCCACACCCCAACGTCGCCCCGTACTGGAGGCCACTTATGGGGAGTACCCGCTGACGACGCTGTCTCTTCCTGCCGCGGGGGACTCTGTGGTGGTCGGCAACACGCATGGTCAGATTGCCGTACTGGACTTGCGAAAAGGCCTGGTGCGGGGGTGCTTCAAGGGCCTGGCCGGGGGTGTGCGGGGTCTGCAGTGCCACGCCTCGCAACCCCTGGTGGCATCCTGCGGCCTGGACCGCTTCTTGCGGATCCACAGCCTGGAGAACCGACGAGTGCAGCATAAGGTTTACCTGAAATCCCGTCTCAACTGCCTGCTGCTTGCCAGCCGACCGCTGGAGGAGGCAGAGTGCGCTGTGGGGGAGGACGGGCAGGAGGTGAAGGAGGAGGACGATGATGTGGACGAAGTGTGGGATGCCATGGAGCAGGTGGACGAGCGAGAACAGAATCTCAAGAGAAAAACACCAGAGGAGGAAGCAGAGAATTCTAACAGAAAAGCGCAAGAGAATTTCAAGAGCAAAACTTCAGAGGACGGAGAGAATCCTGAGAAGAAAACACCAGAGGAAGAGCCTCCGAAGAACAAGACAAAGAAGAGAAAAAAAGCTCAAGCCTGAGAGGCATTTGCGGTGTGCACAGTGCGTGGGACACTAAAAGTTCAAGCTCCTCAGACTGAAAGATAGATGATACTATGCGAATGTTCCTTGGAGAATTTGCATCTTTTATCATTTTATCACATGTATTAAAATGACTGTTTTTGGTCATGCTATACGAGTGCCTACAGCTGCTTTGTCTTGAACATTAACAGAAAATACAACAGCCTGTGAATGAATCAGTTCAGGAAAAATTAATTCTATTTTAAGATTAGCAGATATTGTGAAACTGGCATTTGTTAATTGATTATGGACAAGAACTAACTTCAACATCCATACACACTAGTCACAAAAAGTTTGTTCTGTTCAATTTACCTGTTATGGTTATAATGCATTTTAAATTCATCCTGGAATTTCGCCCCAAGCCCAAAATCCCAAAGTTTTTGGGATCTGTGTATATTAGTACAAAATTCTAACATATAGCATATACCTGTATGTGAGGAGGGAAGCCTTTTTCTGGTTTTGAATAGTTTTTAATGCACAAACAGTATTACAGTAGTAACAGTCAACAATGAAATGTACACAACCTAGTGGACATTGACATGACTTTTTTTTTTGTTTTAGCAGCAACTCATTTGTAATTCTTTAGTAAAATGACAAAAACAAACGTGTGAGCAGCAGAGTGATAAGTTCACTGTTAAAAAAGGCAATGTAGCTGCTACGTAAACATTTGTCTTGCAAAGTGATGGAATGGTTTAAATTAGGCAAAATTTCCCTTTGTGACCTAGTAAACAAAAAAATATCACGTTAACTTAGCGGTGAGTCTAACATGTCTTCCCTTAAGTTTTCACTTTTTTACTGTTTGGGTGTAACATTCTGGTGCATGTTGGGTAACAAGAAGAGCTTACGTTAACATCAGCTACTTCACAAATACGTGTGTTCCCATCAAGGACGGGTAGATAAATACAAACATGTTTGTGAAAAATATAAATATTTAGTTAATGTAATAACATTTGTGATAGTGAATTGATTTATTGGAATAATATATTGGTCAGTCTTTTTTTTTACCCATACCTTATTTTTTTCCAATAATTTAATTATTAACCTAACATTAACCAGTAAAATGGACAGAATGTACTATTACGAAAAGGACATTTATTACTTGGTAGTTTCCTTATGGTGATTTCAATTATAACATTAACATGGGAATTGTTTTATTACATTAAAAAACCTTAGATATAAATTTAATGACCTCGAGCACTCAAGCTTTCCCAGGCCTTTGGTTTGGTTGGCGCGCTATATGTTTCCATTTTAATCAATAACGTAATTTGGCAATTTTTCCCCCCCGAGTGCATTAATTTAGCGATTAAACATAATGAAGGTGTTTGTGTTGCATAACAGTTGATTTTTTTTGGGGGGTGGGGGGGTCCCTGAAAAGTAGTCATTTTGGAGATGCAATTCTGCCCGACAGTGAGTGAGTTAGGTGATAATTAAGACTGCGAATGAAAATTCTACCAAGTATGTAACACATTCACAGGTTCCCATCGTCTTCTTTGCGGCCGAATCTTCGTCTGGCCAGCTTCTCCGGGTCATGTGATGCCATATCGCTAAAGTCTCGGAAAATGTCCTGAAAGGTTTGGTCATCTCCTGCAAGGACCGCACGGATGCTGCTGAGCAAATCACAAAGCTGAAACGTTAAGAGTTTCGTGGACTCACCCGTAGCTCCGAACGCTGCTTCAGAATCTCGCATCTCCTCGTTCATTCTGGCCATGCGCAGCCTAGAGGGACCAAACAAGGGAGGGACACAAAAAACTACAATCTACCGATTGAAGTGCTTATATGATGTGATAATGACTTTTTAATGTCCACTCACTGAGTGTGAAATTAAGCAAGTCAATCTTTTGTCTGAGCTTCTGCCCCAATGTGACATTAAAACTGGGCTTGACATGCTCTCGCCCCCACAGTTTCTCCTTATGGATTGGATATTTTTACTTGTCAAGTTGCAAAAAATTTTTTTGCCATGGGCAAGAAAAATTGCAAAACATAGCGACAAATTTACACCCAAGATTTGTCCAAACCAACTCTTGTTTTGTGACTCTCTCTCAAAAGGTGTCTATGAAAGAGTCCTACATTTTTCCGGGTTGTGACGATATAATCCGTCTAATATACTGTATATATATTCCTGCTTCCACACCAATAGGGGCAGCTTAGCTATTCGTGTTGGGTGGTGTCCAAATGGTGATGACGTGCAACCTACACAGGGAAATTACAATAAAATCTTCCATGACATTTATCAGTTTATTCTCCTTGTGAGTATTGTTGTATGCTCTGTTTTTGTATGCGAAGCAGCCCTGTGATTGTTAAAGTAGCAGTTATTTGACGGTTGAGAATTACCGTAACATTGATGCAAAATTCAGTTTGAACGTCTACAGCATATCACATTTTAAGGGAGCATTCAGATAGCGAACTTTGGTTACTATGTGATTCAGTTGAACATGTTGATTAGTGAAACGTATCCTCCTGCGATAAATGGAGGTTTCATTGTATGCACATATTTGTTGAGTCTTGTGTCGCGTGCTCTTCATCAGCTCACAGCGTGTAAATTCAGTTCGAACGTCTACAGCATATCGCATTTTACGGGAGCATTCAGATAGCGAACGTTGGTTACTATGTGATTCGGTTGAAACAACTTGATGACTGGAACATATCCTCCTGCGATAAATGGAGGTTTCATTGTATGCACGTATTTGTTGAGTCTTGTGTCGCGTGCTCTTCATCAGCTCACAGCGTGACGATGTCAGCGTGTGCCGTCTCCACTGCGATGGCAAGTGGGTCGCGTCCGCTCTCATCCACTGCGTACTGATTGGCTCCTCGCTTCAGCAGCAAGCACACCTGCCTGTGGGGGCCGATAGGAACGTCACAGTCTGTGTGTGTGTGTGTGTGTGTGTGTGTGTGTGTGTGTGTGTGTGTGTGTAGTGACCCGGTGTGTCCAGCGGTGGCTGCTGCGTGCAGAGCTCCTTGCCCCCTCAGGTCTCTGTGGTTAATGTTGGCACCGTTCAGCAGCAAAAACTCGGATGCCAACAGCGACCCCTGCAGAGAAATGGACTTTGTTTCATTTCGAAGTATTTCAATAAAGATTTTAGTCTTGTGTTTTAAAGTTCTATTTAGATCTACAGTATATAAAAACAGACTGTAAAATTGTAATAATCTGAAATCGATTGTTGATTTATTCCAGTAAGATTTAGATTTTTTTTCTTAAAAAAATACATCACAATAATTTGCTCTCATTATATTCCAAATTGATTCCTTAAAAAAAAAAGACAATTGTAATCTTCCAATTTTTTCTTGAATATGCTGGATTTATTATCAAAATAATAAACTTTATTCTGTTAACATTTTCCAGTTGTCAAAAACTAAATGCTTTACTCTTAGTCTTACTTTATGAACATTAAATATAAGGACTGCAATCTAATAAATGGCTTGTGATATTCGAAATGTATCAAAGTTGGTGTAGAATTCCAAATGGATTCTTTAAAAAGTGCCACTTTTATGACTTTATGCTTGTCGTATTACAAATTACTATGAAGACTTTATTCTCATGTTATGCCCAGTATAACTTGTAAATAACCTTTTTTTTCATTAATATATATTTTTCTCTTTTAGAAAATTTATCCCCATGATACTACATTTTTAAAGTAAAAAATGTCAAAGAAAAAAAAAACACCCGTTTTATTTTCATAATATTTTCACAATATTACTTCTTTTTTTTCCTCCTCTAAAAATGTTTCATGACTGCATCATAAAAGTAACCCGTGTTCCCTCACCCCTTGGGCGGCCCCAATGAGAGCCGTGCGTCCTTCCTCCTGGGCCAGGGTCCCGTTCACCGGTGCCCCTTGGGCCAGAGCCGTCACCAAGGCGACCAGGTCTCCAGCCACCGCGGCTCGGTAGAGATGCAAGAGTAGCGAGGCCTCAACGTTGTCATGACGCACTTCAACAAATACACCACTCCACGTGAACAACAACATATACGAAATACACAGTGGATACAAAAAGTCGACACCCCGCCTGCTAGATGACAGGTTTCTAAGATCGAAAAAAACATTACACCAAAATTAATAAATGTAAATAACTTCTGGCATTCATGTGACCTCGGGCTTTTATTACAGTAGTCTTTTTGTGTGATTCTTAGGTTGGAATATTTTGATGTGCCAATACTTGAATCTGAACTGAGCCACATCCCCAGTTACAAGAGGGTGTACACAGTTGAGTAATCACCTCTTTTTTTTCACAGCGCCTCTCCAAAAGATATTTGGCTTATATTTCACCTTGGGTTTTGAAATTATGTTCCTTGATCTCAGTTTTTTGACGACACAAAACCTTGGCAACTGAACAGTGGCGCTTCGGCTTTTTACGTCCACCGTACAAAAACAACCACTGCCGCCAATTTGTTGATGAAATGTACTTACTTGGGCCATCATCGTCGCCATTCCGCCTCACAAAGGTCTTCTCGACGTACTTGTCTCGTATCCAAGCTTCCTTCTCAGCACTGACAAAGAGTTTGGCAGTCAATCATCCAGTATTGATCACAGATTGAATGACAGGCGTGTGTCGTGTTTACTGCGGGCTCTCCGTGGTGGGTTTGACTCTGTGCAAACACTGTGCCTCGTAAATCTTGTTGATGACGTCATTTCCGAGGACGCACAGCAGCTATATCACAAACACAGGAAGTCTTGCTTTTATGATCACAAACTTCTTTGGAATGGTAAGCTCCTTTTACACAGCCCTAAGTGGTAATGTGGTACCACACAGAAGGCAAGCAACTCTAAATTGCGACTTGTCTCAACTGTAATAAATAAATAAAACACATAAAACATCAGCAATAAAGCAGGGGCGCGAACGATGAATGACAATAAAGCGGGGCAAAACTGTAGTATCAGAGGGAGGAAGGTGGCTGTGTGAAAAGAGTTTACGAATGACTCCATCATTTGTGCATGAGTTTCACCTTGAGTTGCTCCGCTTCCCATGAATCCAGCGTGAGTGAGCGCACCTTTGACACGTGGACGCCCAGACTCCTGTATGCATCAACAGACAGGAAGAAAAAAAAAATAAAAAAATTGGGAGCTGATTACCGATTAGTGGGTAAAAAAACAAAACAAAACAATATCCCATCACCGATCCGATCAGAAGATGGACCAGTCTATTCATACAACTTTTTTTATTTACTTTATAGTTATTTGCGGGGCATTGGGACCAACCGGACCCATGAATCGTCAAAATTTGCATCTAAATGTCAAAATACTGGGGGAAAAAAAATCTGATTGTATAAAATGAGAAAGATTCACTCCTTACAAAATGTCCCTGAATGCAAAACAAAATGCAAAACACCGGCCGATCCGAGACAGCCAATCTGTAGGAAATGTGACTTTAATCTATTAAGATGACACATTTTCACCTTGACCAAATATTCATGTTTGCATCATCATCGCATTGTATCTTTTCTTTGAAAAAAAATATACATAACTTAATTTTCAGGATATTACATCCTTTTTTTTCCTAAATTATATGATTTTATTCTTGGTAATATGACTTTTTTTTCTTGAAAATTACAAGACTCATCTTTTTCCTCGGGAAAATGGTGACTAGGGTGGTCCATTTTGGAAAAGTTTGTCGGATTCGTCGGGCCGGGTCGGAAATCTTGTCGATACTATGACACAAGGATGTGTGCAAAATTTTATTCCGATCGGATAATTTTATCCCGTCCCGCAGAGCGACCAAAGTTTCCCCTATGGAAAGAATGTTACGGGGCTGAATGGTAGTACGGTTTCTCCCGTACAGTAAGGATTTTGTTTTGCTCAGTTCGCACTTGCAATAATTCAAAGACGGAAGACAGGAACGCATGTATTGCAAAAAAGGCAACCGTGGTTATCCTTCAACACTGGTGAGATTGTTGGTCCATGTTAACTGGTCCATCTGTCTATCTGTCCATCTGTCTATAATGTCCATCAACACTAGTGACACTGTTAGACCGCAAAAAAAAAACGAAATCCGCCGTGCGTGCCATCCCATGCCTACTTCGCGCACGGGTGCAACGCCCGGTGTCGCTCCACGACCTGCAGAAGGTGCTGTCGCTGTTCCTCGTCGCGCGTGATGGCGCCGCAGAACGCGCTGATGAGGGCGACGCCCCTCTCCGCAAAGTCGTTCACCACCCGTAGGTGACGAGCGCGCCGACGAGCCGTGGTGATGTTCGATGTCGAAAAGCGTCCTCAGCTCAGCGTCCAGTAAGAATTCCGGCGATTCTCGACTTCAGTTGAAAGATATTAGCTCGCCAGTAGGTGACCGTTGTGTGTTAGGCGTGCGTTTGAGTTTGTCTCCGGCTGCTGAGAGCAGCGATGGAATGATTAGTTAGTCAGGAGGTGATCGTTCGGGCAACATTCAGCCCAGCCACAAAATCCTTACTGTACGGGAGAAACCGTACTACCATTCAGCCCCGTAACATTCTTTCCATAGGGGAAACTTTGGTCGCTCTGCGGGATGGGATAAAATTATCCGATCGGAATAAAATTTTGCACACATCCTTGTGTCATAGTATCGACAAGATTTCCGACCCGGCCCGACGAATCCGACAAACTTTTTTTTTTGCCATGAAAATGTGGACCACCCTAATGGTGACCATAATAATCTAATGTTTTTATTTACAAAAAAAGACTTAATTCAAAGAACATTTCAAGTATATTCTTGATTAGATTTGACTTTTTCCATTAAAACCGTGTGACTTTTAATCTTAGAAAATTTTACTTAACTGGTACAAAAACATAAAACTCTTTTTAGTGGCAACTGTTTGACTTGCGTGTATCAGTACCGGTGAATCCCTGAGCACTGAATGCACACCGTGATGCCCAAGTTGACGGCTGCCCATCGCGGTTCCTCCTCGCCGCAGTCGCAGCAGCAACGGTTGCCAGTGCCCTGCAGAGCCACGCCCAGCACCGCCGTCCTCTGATTGGCCGCAGCGTTGTCACCGCCGCTCGGCGGGAGGGGCTCCTGAGGCTGAAGGACACTTTTGTGAATTTTCTTATTAGTTAGTATTATTGGCATGATGAGGTAGCAGAAGGTAGCAGGAGCCTGCCTGTGTGGGCGTGGCTTGGCCTCGCTCTCGATACGCCATATCGATGCTCCCCTGTAACGCTTCCATCCATGCCAGCCTCACTTGCTCAGAGTCGGCCTGAAGTGCACAACACCTGACGGGCCATAATAGGGGGCATTATGGGAGACTATGGGGACATTATGGGACAATACAACATGAAATAGTACAGACAGTAATGGGGGATATTGTGATTGACTACTGGACAAAATATGGAACATAATGAGACAAAATGGGGGACCCACTCACTAAACAGACATTCATCTTAAAAGTTCGATCCCGTCTGTCTTGTCCTCATGGTTTTCTTGTCAACTCAGACTCATCCATCATTCTTCAGGTACAACTGTGTTGACTATGTTGAGTTGAAGGTTGATGTGTTTTTAACTCACTTGTGCACAGACATCAGCTGGAAGCAGAATCGTCGGTCCAGGTCCTCCAAAGACTTGACGGCACACAATCGCAGGTCCTCAAACAGAAGCGTGGACGCCTCCTGACGAGCCAAACGGAAAATTAACCGTCACAACCTCTTGACCTTATGAAAATTAATAGCAGACATATTATGACTTTATGACCAGTTAGTGGATTGATTTTTGTTTTTTTTACTTTGTGTGACTTCCTGTAGATGAGTTGGTTGTCTCTGATGGAGAACCAGCATCTGTACATAAAAAGTACGGATATAATTTTTTATTTTAGGATTTCGATCATGTTTTTGCTTTTGGCATTTTCTTGTGGAGCCTTTTTGGACCATCCGTGTTCGTGCCCCTTAAAATCTACAGTAACTAACTACAGGGGGGAAGGAAGAATTTCAAAAAATGTTGAGGTTACAAGGAGACATGTGACCTCTTCCACATTTTTGCCTTCCTGCGGGAGCGTTTGAAGAGGTAACCTTGGATGATGTCGTCAGTCCCACGACCCAACTGGAACAGCGTCTCTCCTGAGGCATCCTACACACATACACACGCAGGCAAAATTATGTCGTTTTCCCCCCCAAAAAAGAAGAAGAAAAAAAAAAATTAAAAGGTTACTTTTGTCTTCAATAGAACTCATTTTTTTCGAACTAAAAAGATTATTTTAAATAATATATTTTTGCCATATTTTCTTTAAATGATGTTTAGCGGTAAAAATATGACTATTTTTTTTTAAAAAGCACATAAACATGTTTATTCCTATCTACACTAGTAATAAAAAAAAGTTAATAAGCTATTATTATCCACTGTCATTGTAAGTTGTATACACAGAATGCCAATACAATAATACAAATAACTTGTGGAAAAAAATACAGATCTTATATTTGTCCCATCGTAATAATAATATATGTTTCTATTATTTTTCATTGAAATGAACTGAAATGTCATTAATCCATTCCAGCCTACGAAACAAAATTCTTCTTAAATGTTTTTTTTAATAACTGGTATTTTTTATTGATATTGTAACATCAACAGAGGGGGAGTAAGTCCGCGAAAGGAAGAAGACCCAATCAAAATTACCAATGTTTGTTCTAAAAATGTTCTTTTCCCCTTGTTTTCCAAAAATATTGAAAAATGACTGGGAATTATCCTATATGGCTGATGAAATGTAAAAATGTGTGCTGGTGATGTAGGTGACTTACTTGTTGCTGGACCAGCAGATGATTGCTCTCCAGCTCTTTCCTTTTGCTCGCACACTGAGCCGAGCGCTCGCGCAACTGAGGACAGAGTCAAAAGAATCGTCTTGAGTGGAGCCGGCGGAAACAGTCACAAGTGAACTTTGTGCGTCATTTGTTTTGTTTGTATGCGAATGTGTGTTTGCATCCACCTGTGTGGCCATGACCTTCATGCCGGGCTCAAGGTCTCGGAGCAGGTCAAAGCCTTGATGGAAGAATGTCAGCTGAGCGTTGACCAAGGAGAACACCTCAACGCAACAACACAACTTTATTCAGACTTTGACACTAATAATAACAACAATATCTGTTCCAAGTATTATAATTATTATTAGACATAGCTGATGTACGTCTTGGTCCGCATCAGTGTGGATGTTTGTATTATAGCTGAAAAGAAATAACTAGAAACTTTCAGAAAAAAAAAGCAAACTGCATGTCAAATGTATTAGGACAATGGTTTGGGATTCAGGTAAGAGTAAAAACCTACAGCAGAAGTAAAAAAAAAAAAAAAAAAAAAAAAAAAAGTTATCTAACGTACCCCTGACGAGTCTCAACACGGTATACTTTGACATCAAATTAAATCAACAGTGACAGCAGAAGGGAGTGCAGCGTAAAATGTCAGCCCCTTTGAATGGTTAAAAACAGATGGAATATACTACATAATTATTTTTCCGCAAACTCAATATTACCGGTATCAGCATGCCGTACTTCGACTAGTGGGAGCACAGCAAACATATTATTGAAAAGAACGTTTTTTTTCTTACCCTCTACTTTTGGGCTTGATTGACTAAGAGCTACGTCCCAATATTAATTCTAAGCAAAGCTAAGGTAAGACATGAGTGAAGTCATAGTCCTACCGAGTTCAAGAAGTCCACTCTCTGCTGAGTCTTGAATGTGTTGAGCTGAATGACAAAAAAATAAAAATAAATAAATAAATAATAATAATACAAAAGATGAAAGAGTAGAAAAACTAATCAACAGATACAACAAAAAGAAAAGTGTGTGTGTGTGTGTTTATCTATCCACTTTCCACTTGGCATGTGCGTAAACAACGTTTGAAGAAAGATGTTGCATGTGTCAATACCTGCAGACAGTAATCCAGGGCAAAGTGTTGGTAGCATTTCCGTGTAGCAATGAGCAGGTGACTCGCTCTTTCGGCCTCGATGGTCTTGTGTCGAGACACTTGAGCATTCTTCAGAGTCGCAGTGTCCAGATCGTCACCGATACGCAGAAACTCATCACGCGTTTCCGCCAGCTGAGGCAGGAATCTGAAAAAATCAAGTCCATCAATCGACTTGTAGTCAGTCAACTTGTATTTTGAGATGTTATCGAAGGCAGCGGTCCCCAACCTTTTTAGCCCCACGGACCGGTTTAATGTCAAACAATATTTTCAGGGATCGGCTTTTAAGGAGAGATAAATACAACTAAATAATATGATATGACCTGCATGAAAACTGGTATTTTCTAAACAGAATAAACACGAGGATTGTCCTATTTGGCCGCAACCCTGTCAGGTCACTATGGTAACATTTAAATGTGCCTTCAAAATAAGACACACCGCAGGTAAAGAGTGGAAGAAAAATACGAGTTTGGTGCGTGGGAATCTCCCATTGAGATAAAACCATATTTTAGGTAGGACTCCTGATACTGTCTATTAAAAGTAGTCTTCTTTTTTTTTGAAAGTCGTAGGCTCCTCTTCTGTCTCCTGGCTGGGCCTTTTCCCCTTCCCAAGACCTTTTTTTTTTTTAAACTCATTTTGCTATCTCCTGGGTTTCATTTTAGCGGTAAACTACCACGTGATCGAGAAGTGCGCCTTGACTCGCGCCAAGAGTGACATACTGTAGACGAATGTAACAGAAAATCCAGTAATTTTTCAAAACATCTTTCAAATTCCGAAATGAATAAAACGGAAATAATGTCGGTTATTTATCCTTTCTGTGTGGCCTGGTAATGAATGACCACGGACTGTATGGGTCCGCGGCCCGGGGGTTGAGGACCGTTGTTTCAAACCTTGGATTAGGATGTCAAACCGGGATTAGGTGCGAGTCTAAAAATGTGTGTGTGTGTGTGTGTGTGTGTGCGCATAGGAGTGTACTTACCGCTTGCAGAGGCTGCTGAGCTGATGGCTGATGGCTCGCTGACTCTGATCTAG